CGCCGCGGCCGCCCTCGAAGCCACGGCCGCGGCCGCCGTCGGGGCCGTAAGCGCCCTCCGGGCCCGGGCCGCCGCGCAGCCCGCGCCCGCGGCCGCCGCGGCCCAGCGGGCCGGCCCCCAAGGGGCCGCCCACCAGCATGCCGGGCTGGGGCATGACAAGGCCGGGCGGCCCCATGCGGCCGCGGCCGCCCATGCGGCCCGGCGGCCCCATGACCCCGGGGTATATCATGCCCGGACGCGGGCCCGCCTGGGGGCCCAGGGGTCCCGGGTAGAACATGGGGCCGGGTGCGCCCGCCGGAAATATGCCGGGGATGCCGCGGCCGGGTCCGCCGGCGGCCGCCGCCATCTGCATGCGCTGCTGGTTCAGCTGCTGCTGGAGCTGCGCGCGGCGCACCTGCAGGAGGGGTCGACAGAGGAGGGGATGCGCAGACGTGGCGAGGTCAAGGTGCAGAATTGCCAGCAAGCAGCGTGCGTCACAGGCGCAGGCGTGGGTATGTGTGGCGCAGGGGCGGATGCAATCTCGCAGGCAGGTGGCGGGGTGACGGAAGCGTGTAGGGGGCCGAAGCAGCATCTCAGACAGCGGCGCGGCCGCGAGCTCTCACAACGCGTGTGGGGGGGCCGGGTAGGTTCGTCCCGCAGAGCGGGGCCCGGCCCTGGCCCACTGCACTGATGCCTCAAAGGCTTTCATCATCGATGCTGCTCAGCGGGGCCCCCCAGGCCCCGCCTCACCACCTGCCACGCCCCGGCTACACAACCGCAGGCATCAGGCGGCCGGCACGAACGCCGGCCCCCGCGCCGCAGCCCCTTGCCCCATCCCAGCCAGCCGCCCTTCAGCCCCGCGCCGCACCTCCTTGCGCTGCGCGAGGGCCACGTAGAGCGGCTTGCCCTTGAGCATCTTGCCGTTCATCTCCGTGACCGCGCGCGTCGCCTCCTCGTGGCTGGTGTAGCACACAAAGCCAAAGCCGCGCGACTTGCCCTTGTCGTCCACCATGACCTGGGGGGCGGAGGGAGGGGTGAAGGTGGTTTGAGTTGAGGCGCGTGTGGACTACCAGGGGTGGTGGGCGCCGTGGCGGTTGACCGGCGGACGCAGACTGGGGGTAAGGGAGCCTCGAGGCACGAAGGGGGGGCCCTGCGCTGGCGAGCGCTGCAGACAGAGCTGCGCATTCCTGGCGCCTTTGTCAAAAAGCACCACGACGCTAGTGCACATATAATTGTATGCGCATGCGTTTCCGGGTGTGGACACACACACTACCGCACGCATACACACATGTGCATGCTCACACACACGCACACACGCACACAAACTCACTCACATATGCGCGCTGACACTTGCACTCACAAGCACGTGAAATGCTCAAGTCCCTGGACACACGCGCCCAACATCACGACCCCGCACCCTCGACCACAGGATAGCGCACCCACACGCGCCCTCCGCCCCCCAGCTGCCCACCTTGTGCGAGGTGATGGTGCCATAGGGCGCAAACTCCTCGCGCAGCTGGTCATCAGTCACCTCGTCGCTGAGGTTCTTGATGTACAGGTTCATGCCCTGGTACTTGGCCACGCGCTCGGCACGCACCTGGGGGGCGTCCAGGGAGGGTCGGAGCCGACACGGCGCATCAGAGGCACGTCTCAACCCGCCGAGGGCCGGGGGAGCGTCGAAGGCTTGCAACCACCGGCGAGAAAGCAAGAGCCCAGAATCACGGGAGCAGCGGGCAGGGCGCCGCCACGCTGCTCCACCGCACGCGCCTGCAACTCAGCACGTTTGCTCCCTCAGCTGCCCCCGTGCATGGCAGGCCAGCCGGCCAGCCGCAGACGCTGCCGCCTCACCCCACGCCCGCCCGCTGCACCGCTGCCCCGCTGTACCTCCTCGAACTTAGCGCGCAGCAGCGACTCCCGCTCTGCCTTCTTCTGGGCGCGGCCCGCGAACACGGTCTTGCCGCCGACGTCCTTGCCGTTGAGCGCCTCCACCGCGGTGGCCGCGGCCTCGGCCGTCTCAAAGTTGACAAAGCCAAAGCCGCGCGACTTGCCGGCGCCGTCCTGCGGGGCCGCGCGGCACAGGTCACTGTGGTTGCAGACCCGGGCCCTGCAGTGCCCGCCGACCGACTCCAGCACCGCCGCAGGTATGCCCAAGACCAACCATCATCCCTCCGTCTAGACTTGCTGCCGCGCCTTGCACGACACCCCTTGTGCTGCACTGCGCTGCCAATCACCTTCCACTCCCAGGCCAACACGATCCTCCTTGTCCAACACACTCCTTCTCACCGACTGTCCCTGTCCAGGACTCCTGAGCTGCCCTGCCGCCAACCCCTCTTCATCACCCCTGTCCCAAAACACAAACACAAACACACACACACACACACACACACACACACACACACACAGAGCCAAGGAAAGCGCCTACTCACCACCATGACGACGGCCGAGGTCACGGGCCCGTGCTCCGCGCAGATCTTGCGCAGCCCCTCATCATCCACGTCCTCCGCGAGGTTCTTGATGTACACGTTGGTGTACCGCTCCTCGCGGCCCTCGCCCACGCGCTCCACACGCTTCAGGAAGGGGCCCACGTACACAATCTTGTCCGCGAGCTGCATGCCGTTCACCTGGGGGGAGGGAGGACGGGGCGAAAGAGGGAGGGATACGGCAACCAGGACGAGCGGGATGGGTGACGACCCCGCAAGAGAGCCTCTTGGCAGCGGCCGCAACAAGCCTGCTGCGATTCAGCAGCCCCAAGTTGTGCCAGGCGCGCCTCCGCTCCTAGCCACCAACTCACAGCGGTGCATCTCTCCCTGGCCCCCCACACATCACCAGTGCGCAGCCACCCCGTTCCCACCCCACACACACACACACACACACACACACATCATCATCATCATCAGGCCGCGCACCTTCTCGATCGCGAGGGCCGCGGCCTCGTCGGTCTCATAGTGCACAAAGCCGTAGCCCTTGGAGTTGCTGGCCGCGTCCGTCGCCACTTTGCACGACAGGATGCTGCCAAACTGGCTGAAGGTGTCGTGCAGGGCCTTGTTGTCGATGGACTTGTCCAGGTTCTTGATGAAGATGTTGCCCACGCCAGACTGGGGGACGCGTTGGGGGTGGGGGGTGAGTGGTATGCAGGGGATGGATGAGTGCTGTGGGGTGGCGTGGGGCGGGGCGGAGGGGCGGGATGGGGATGTCTGCAGGAAGGGTGCGGCCGCCAACGAGTTTAGGCAGGGGGAGCAGCACAGCACAGGGCCGGCTCGCTCGCCTCCCTCAGCTCGTGAGCGGAACCAAAGCTGCTGCCACGGCTGCCGGCCGCCAAAGCCAGCCCCTGCGGCCGCTGTCGCTGCTGCAACGCCCCACGAGTGGCGGCGCCAGGCAGCGCCGAGCGCCGCGCCCAGCCCGCAGCCGCACGCCGCGCCCAGCAGCGCCGCCAGCGGCCGCCCAGTGCCGCACCTTGCGGAAGGCGGGGTCGCGGTGGGACCACATGATGCGGATGGGCCTGCCGGCCACGGGGTGGTAGTTGAGGGTCTCCAGGGCCCGCTCCGCTGGGGAGCACAGCGCGACCGGGGGCGGGGATGGGAGAGGAGACGAGTCAGTCAAGGACTGTCAAGAGCCGTTGCTCGCATTGAAGCCTGCAGGGCCTGACTGGGTGCTGCGCGGCGCGGCTGGACCTGCTGTCCTGCCGTTGCGTTCACCAAAGTACCGCGCCTTCGCTGCATCCGCACACAGCGCCATGAAGCGTCCGCGCTTTCCCCTGCGCCGCCAGCATCCCGCCAGCTGCTGGACGCGACGTGCTGCTAGCCCTCGCCACTCCGCTGCACTCTGTTCAAACACACTGAAGGGATCGCGGCCCTGGCTGCGCATTGCTGGGAGCGTCATGCTGCGCAGCAGCATCCCCTGGGCCTGCAGCCACGCGCGCGCCCACACCCTCATGTCCGCACAGCTGCCACTCCAATCACACTCATTGCAACGCTGCCGGGCCTGCACCAGCCCCACTAGCCGACTCGGCTGCACCGTCCCAGCGCCGCCTGACTCCGTAGAGCAGCGCCCAATCTTGCGGCCAGCTGCGGGCGGCCACCGGGCTGCCACTCGCTCAAAGTGCGTCCGACCTGGCCCCATACAAGTCACAAGCACCCGACAGCAAATGATCGGCCTCACCGGCCTGGGGATCCAGGGCGCTGTTGTAGTTGACGTACGCATAGCCCAGAGAGCGGCGGGTCACGGCATCACGGCACACGCGGATCGACGCCACAGGGCCGACCTGCAACCATGCGGGCCGGGTCGACGCTCGTTGCGGAATAGTCACCCGCCGGCATCCGCTGCTTCGATCGATGATATGGCAGCGTGACTTCGGGTGCCGCCGTGAAAGCGGCGTGCGTCGGCCCGCACAGGCCTCCATTCAGCAGGCGCCACTGCACCAGCGCAGTGCTGCGCGCCCAATCCCGCCTACCCCAGCGCACCTGAGAGAACAGCTCAAAAAGAGAAGCCTCAGTGGCATCCCTGAGAAGGGTGAGTATAATTTGTAAGCGCACGAGGGCGCGGGCTGGCCTAATGAGTTGCATCGCCGCAACCAAGAACCCGTGCTGGGCTGTGTTCACCCCACCTGTCCAGGTCTCCAACGTAGAGCGATGAGTTCTGCGTTGGCTGTGTCGCTGGGGCGGCGGGGGCCTGTGCAGGAGGGGCTTCAGCAGACATCCTGTCAGACGTCTGGCTGATGTAGGAGGGGGATGGAGTCGATCTTTTTTTGCTTTTTTAGCTTTTTTGCAGCGCCTCAAGGAGAGACACCGTTTTTGTAGGAAGAGCACACCGCAACCAGCAAAGGTGCAAAGTGCTCAACCCAATGAGTTTTATATGGTGGCTGAACGCAACCTGAGGGAGGGGGAGACTCAGCAGGGCTGCCCCCTATGTTGCCACGCGATGGGCAACAAGGGAGACGCGAGTGACATCGAGTGTGCTGTCAAGACCAGTGTCAATCGGAAATATTTTAGGTCGATCGAACATCGCTCTTGGGCTCACGGCTGCACATCAAAGCAAGACACCGCTTGGTCTTGGGTGGTGGGCGGGCGCACGCGCCAGCTGCGACGTTGCATTTCACTAGCCCTGCTCCCCTTGTCCTGAAGGCGGCGCTAAGAATTTCAAAGTGGGGGTGTGCCAGTCTGTAAGGGCCACGGCCTCGACACGCTGGCCCAGCGCGCGCCTGGCGTAGGCAGTCAACCAGCGCAGCGTGGTCAACCCCGACTGCAGCAGCGATGGACCTGAAGATCGCAGTGCTGGGTCCCTGCAAAAGCGGCAAGACGCTGATGTGCATGGCGCTGGCTAATCAGACGATTGTGCCATGCGACTACGAGCCAACAGTCGCTCTTAGGTGCGCTGGGGCTGGGCTGCCTCCACATGTGCCGCTGCGACCGGCCACGATGGCTGCCCCCGTTGTGAGGGCTGCCGTTGGCGCTCCGGCTCGTTTTGCCTACCCCAAGAGACTGGCGTTGCTGCATCCATGCAATGATGCTTAACAAGGGCTGCTTTTGCAGTGGCTGTGCAGCCGCAACAGCCGCTGCTGCGTTCCCCTCGGCTGCGCGACACGGGCCGTCAATCAACAGAATCCAGGAGCTCACTGTGAACGTGGGGCCAGAGGGCGAGCTGGTGCGTGTCGCATTGTGGGACGTGCCTGGCGGCACGCAGAACAAGCATCGGTGGCAGGCGCTGGCGCAGGTGCGTGGCTGCATGTTTGCTGCAAGCTGATGGCACGCGCCATGCAAGAGATGGTACAAGCTGCCGGCGCGCGGCATGGCGGGCAACGCCTTGCAAGACATGGGATGAATCGGATCGTGCTTACCACCTCTGCTCAAAGTGATTCACCATCATATCCATCAACCAGCCTCCTCGCCGCCTTGTTCAACTCCACATGCATCGCGCTGTCAGGGTGTTGACGGGGTGCTGCTGGTGATTGACCCGCAGCAGGTGGACGTGGGGGAGCGTGAGCTCGAGGCGTTCTACCTGGCGTTTGCGCAGCCGGCGGCGCTGACCACGCGGCAATGCATGGTGCTGGCGGTCGACGCAGGCGGCGCGGCGGCGGTCGGCGGCAACGCAGCGTGGTCAGGTGGGGCGCGGGGTGGGTGGGTGTGTTTGGCACACTCACATTATCATGCGCGGGAGGATGCCAGCAGCACGCAAAGCAGGTCACATCACACACCTGATGAGCCATCGCTGCCTTGCGCAGAGCCCAACACCAACGCTTCACATCTGGCGTACACGCTTGCTCAACCCCAACCCCTTGCCTTCTGTTCCCGCAGGCCTGCGCGGCAAGCTCGGGCGCCTGCAGTCAGGCTTTGTCAGCATCAATGCGGCCACGCCCGAGTCAGGGGCGCAGGAGGCGAGGCGGCACCTGGACAAGCTGCTGGCAGGTGAGGCGCTCAACGCGGCACTGAGGTTCAGCTGGGTGGTTCGCGTCGGGGGTTGGCTGAGCCCTCTGGCTGTGGGTGTGCAACCACAGTGATAGAGACACTCACTGCTGCATGTCTGTGCGTTGCCGGCGCGTGCGTGCCCAGGCTGCCTGGCCAGGAAGAAGGACCAGGCCGAGCGAGCCATGCTGGGGGAGGGCGGGGCGCGGTGTTGAGGCGGCGGCACGCGGCCGCAAGCCTAGGGTGGGGGATCCTGCCCATATCGGGCAGCTGGATGGTGGTTTGGCGTCGCGGCTGTCTTGCTCTCTTTGCTGTGTTTGCGTGTTGCCATTTTGCTGTTGCAGTGTACACCATCGCTGCGCGGCCTGTCGCGCTTTCCTTCTTGTTGCTGTTGGCGAAGGTAAATACTGAGCACTCTTTAAGCCCGTGCTGCTGTTTTGGTGATGTGCAGTGCTGTTGTGTTGCCCAGCGCCGCAAGCTGCATTGCTGCAGTAAGCATCGATCCCCAGTGACCCTCTGTCGACAGCAGCAAAGGAAGCCCATAAGCACGCAACCGAGTGGTTCTTGGTAACACATAGGGTGTCAGTGAACCACGCTCCGGGAAGACAATGGGTGAGGAAAGGCTCAGGGCTCGCAACGAGCCGCAACGCAGGGCTGCATAAGAGATGTCGACAGGCGCCGGCGTGCCAGCGGCTGATGGGCGCGCTGCCGCGTCAGAAACACCGTGTCATGTGAGTCGCCATGCAGTGGAGGTGCCAAGTGCATGATTCGTCGGCGGCAGCCCCGCGCTCTCCCTTGACGTGCGGTGTGGTGCGGTGGGCCACGGTTGCGCTCGCACGCACCCAAGCATACCCACCTACCACGCGCCCTGCAGAGGGGCGCCACTGCCAGCGGGAAGCACAACAAAACGGCAGATGGCCGAGGAGCAGCTAATTATTGAACGTACGCGCCGCAAGCCCGTGCGGGTACACGCGCGCGCGCGCCGCGCGCGCTGTCCCCCTCAAGAAGAGGTGCGGAGGGGCGGCAGCGCGGGCGCGGCCATTGGCCGCGGCAGTGGCCCTAACTCTATGCGGCGCAGTCTGCGGTCTCCTTCTTGGCCGTGCAGTACGCGACCAGGGGCTTCGATGCGAAGGCCCTGCACGCCATGCGCGGCCTCGACCGCCACCTTGCTGGCCGGTCACGCCTCCGGCTTCTCGGCCGGGACAGGGGCCTGGGGCTCGGCGGCCTTGACCACCAGGGGCGCGAACTCGGTCTTGACCGGCCGCGGCTTGCAGGCGGGGCAGCACGTGTTATGGCAGAACTGCCCGCTCTCGTTGTCGATGTAGGAGACCACCGCGTCGCGGATGATGCCCAGCGCGCTGTCGGACTTGATGGGGCCGCCGATCTTGATGGGCGCCACGGGGGTGGGCTTGCCGAACATGACGTCCTCAACAGACACGCTGAGGCCCCACGCGCCCTTGCCGGCGCCGTCGCCCTTGGTGGAGATGGAGAAGTTGCCGGGCTTGATGAACGGCTTGTTGAGGGCGGGAATGACGTTGAAGCTGGGCAGCTTGGCCTCGATGACGGTGGTCGTGAGGTTGAGGCCGCCGTCGTCCCCGGGCTTGATGCCGGCAGGCACGAAGTGCTGCAGGTCGATGTTGGGCAGGGTGAGGTTGACATCGCGGCCGAACTTCGGGGGGTTGGGCAGGGTGACGGACACGACCTGGATGTCGGGCAGGCCCTTGACCTCGAGCTTGGGGCCGGTGGTGTTGTGGCGTGCATCGATTGTGACGATGTTGCCGATCCTGTCGGGGAAGTTGATCGGCGGCAGGGTGACCGCGTTGATGTTGGTCGTGTTGGGGCCGGAGGCCTTGAGCTTGTAGGGCAGGGGCAGGTTGGCGATGCCGGCCTTGGACGCGTCGACGGTGACCTTGATCATGTGACGAGGGGGCATGTCAGGGTTCTTGAGGTTGACGATCACCAGGTCCTTGTCGCGGGAGCCTGGAGGTGCGGGGAGGGGGCGGCAAAGGGGCGGTG